TTTCTGAAAAGCTGTATCATCAGATGTAAAGCATTCTCAATAGAGTGAAATCAAAGCTGCTTTTTAATTTGTTCATTTTTCTCTCTCTTGTAATCTGAGAGAGCTTTTGGAAATGTTTATGTTTCTTAGCAAGCTGTTGAGGCATTGACTTTAATAAGCAACCTGAATTTCTTTTTTTAAAAAAGACACTGCTGAGATATGTCAAGAGTAGTTTTAATATTGTGCATACAGTAGAATTTTCATCAAGTCTGATTTTTAATAAGACAATGTAATATTAAGAGGCCATGACAGAGTCTATTGTCAGACCAATGGTATTATTGCATGACGTGTCTCCTGACTGTTGAATAAATGAAGGCATTTTTCTGCTGTATTCTTTCAACCAGAAATTTTTCACCAGTACTGAGTTTAGATCTTTTCAGAGCCAACTATCTCTCTGAATGTCTGCTCTTCAGAGAGCTGATGATATAGGTCCAAGAACTAAAACATATTTTCTATACATTTTTACATTCTTTCTTTGGTGTTTTGGATATCAGCAGATTGATTAAAATTTATAATCAGTGTTCAGCATCCATGGACATCTGCTATTTCTAATACATCACATTTTTAATAATATTTATACGGCATATGACTAAATTTTATAATAATAAATGCCTTGCAATATTACAAAGTAATATATTACAAAGTACTTATTAAAATATTACAAAGTACTTCTGTTTCAGTGTTCTAGCCACTATGCTTTTCCTCAGAAACATTACAGATAATGTGATGGCGCAGTGGTGAAATGCAGTATTGCAGGCAAATTCCACAGCATGGAATTCAATCCTGATGGGGCTCAAGGTTGCTCAGCCATCCATCCTTCTGAGGTTGATAAAACGAGGACCCAGATTTTGGGGGGCAATATGCAAATAATGCTGACATTGTAAAACTGCCCAGAGAATGCTATAAAGGGTAGTATATAAATAGTATATAGTAAATAGCCTACTTGGTATTGTTATTGCTATTGTTAATCCTTGACGTACAACTGGTCATTTAGTGTCTGTTTGAAGTTATGGTGGATCTCCCTGGTATACTTACAGCCTGGTTCTAAAGTTCCAATATCCACCTCCCCATTTCTCAGCAGCCTACCTGCATTTACAGTTGTTTGCAGTATCCCACAGTAAGTAAGTGGCTGGGTTTTATTACATTTTTTTGCCAAAAACCAGCAGTTGCTTTGGTTTTTGGCAAAACCAGCCCATAGTGAATCACTGGTTCACTTAATGACTATACTGTTTGTTTAATGACCGCTGCAAAAAAAAGATCATAAAATCAGGTCAACCGCATGGATGATCCAATTTTCACAACTTACAACAATGATTTCAGGTTCTATTATAATCATAAACCAAGGACCACCTCTTCTTTGTATTTCCAAGTCCTTCTTCTCCAAGACCTTCAGATTTCCATTTCTGCTTGTTGACCATTGCTTGATTATTATTATACTGCTTTAGGAGAGAAAATTGTTACCAAATGCACAGGTATAGAATAGGTGACACAGCAGTAACTGTGGGAGGGATCCAGGAGTCCTAGTGAACAACCACTTAAGTATGAGCCAGCTGGGTGCTGCAGCTGTCCCCCCCACCCGCCAAAAAAAAACACCCAATACACTCCTAGGCTACATTAAAAAAGGCATATTATCAAGATCACAGGAAGTATTAGCTTTGGTATGAGCACATTTTGGAATACTGTGTCCAGGGTTTGTCACCATGATACAAAAAAGATGTTGTAACTCTAGAAAGAATGCAGAGAACAGCAACGAAAATGATTAGAGGGCTAGAGGCTAAAATATATGATGAACAGTTGCAGGAACTAAATATGTTTAATGATGTAATGAAAAGTGACATGACAGTGACATGACAGTGGTGACATGACAGTGGTCTTCCAGAGCTGTCACAGAGAAAAGGGGGTCAACCTCTTCTCCAAAGCAACTAAGACCAGGACAAGAAGTAATGGATAGAAACTTATCAATAAGAGTGTCTATGGAGATTTATTTATTTATTTATTTGATTTGATTTGATTTGCCAATTGTTTACAAGATAGTAAGTATAAGTGTATACATAGTTGTGAATACATGAAATGGGTACATATAAGAAAAATAAAAGAAGAATAAGAGAAACAAAAGGACAGGGATGGTAGGCACGTTGGTGCGCTTATGCACGCCCCCTACAGACCTCTTAGAAAAGTCAATAGTAGACAGTCTAAGGTTAAAGTTTTTGGGGTTTGGGGAAGAAACTACAGAGTCGGGTAGAGTATTCCAGGCATTGACCACTCTATTGCTGAAGTCGTATTTCCTGCAATCAAGTTTGGTGCGGTTAACTTTGAGTTTGTATCTATTGTGTGCTCTTGTGTTGTTATGGTTGAAGCTGAAGTATTCATTGACAGGTAGGACATTGCAATGTATGATTTTATATACCATGTTTAAATCAGACCGAAGACGGCGTAATTCAAGGTTTTCTAGTTCTAGAATTTCAAGTCTGGTGGCATAAGGTATTCTACAACGAGTGGAGGAGTGGAGAACTCTTCTTGTGAAATATTTCTGGACTTTCTCAATTGTGCTAATATCAGATACGTAATGTGGGTTCCAGACTGATGAGCTGTATTCGAGTATTGGTCTAGCAAATGTTTTGTATGCTCTAGTTAGTAGTGTGATATTACCAGAGAAAAAGCTACGTAGGATTAGGTTAACAACTCTTAATGCCTTTTTGGCTATGTAGTTGCAGTGGGCTTTAGCACTTAGATCATTAGAGGTGAGTATTCCAAGGTCCTTTACAGAGCTTGGGTCATCAACAAGATCTTGACTATTCAGCTTGTATTTTATTTTCTGATTTTTTTTGCCAATATGTAAGACAGAGCATTTATTTGTTGAGATTTGAAGTTGCCATTTGTTTGACCATTCTGATACATAGTCAAGATCTTTTTGTAGGGTAGCAGTATTGTCTGTGGTATTGAACAGCTTTACATCATCAGCGAAAAGAACACAGTTACTCTTAATATGATCACAGAGGTCATTTATGTAGAGTATGAAGAGAGTTGGTCCTAGAACACTGCCTTGGGGGACACCACTATTGACAGGTACAGAATTTGATAGGATGCTCCCAATTTTGACCATTTGTTGTCTGTTTGCCAGGAATGCTTCTATCCAGTTATGCAATTGTCCAGAGATACCATAGGATTTTATTTTTAGGAGTAGTTTGTCGTGTACCACTGAATCAAAGGCTTTACAGAAGTCTATGTAGATTGCGTCTATTGCTTTGCCCTGATCGACTTGTGTCCATATGTTTTTGCAGTGTAAGAGTTGCAGATTACAGGATAGTTTTTTTCTGAAACCAAATTGTTTATTGGAGAGTAGGTTGTTTGTCTCTAAGTGGAGGATGATGGATTGGTTAATAATTGATTCCATGACTTTACAGGTGACGCAGCATAAGGAGATTGGTCTGTAATTTTCAACTAGGCTGGGGTCTCCCTTTTTGAAGATGGGGATGACTGTGGCTTGTGACCATAGGTTAGGCAAGGAGCTGGTCCTGAAAGATTTTTCAAAGATTATGCTTAGAGGTTTGGCTATGGCAGTGGATAGCTTTTTTAAGAAGTAGGCACATATTCCATCCGGTCCAATAGATAGAGATGGTTTTAGATTGTGTAGTGCTTTTTCAACATTGTCTTCTGTAAAGATTCTCGGACAGAGAGCTGAAGAAGCTTCTTGGATGAGAAACAAAACATCTTCAAAGAACCAGAAAGTCCGGTTGCCTCTTGAAAAAGCACCTTTGTGACAATTATCAATGAGAGATCCAACCTAGAAGTAAAGTGACATTTCCTGACAGTGAAAACAATTAATCAGGGAGCAGCTTTCCTCCAACAGTTGTAAGGACACCATCACTAGAAGTTTTTAAGAACAGCCATTTGTCCAGGATGGCATAGGGTCTCGAGATTCCTTCCAATTCTATTATTCTGTAAGATGTCCTCTTCTGCATCAGTTGTCACATTTTGAGTCCATGTGGATTTTATAATTTCAAATAAGAACTGTTAAACTGGAGCAGCATCTTATCTAGTCCAGGATTCTGTGGCACATATTGGCAAACCAGTTGCTTCCAATAAGATCATATTATCCAAAGCTGGTAAATTCAGAGTTAGGCACTTACTCAAAAGGGAGGAGGGAAGATATCTCTATCTTTTTTGCTTTTCTATAATCATTTCTTTGATTCAGCATTTCAAGAAGGGCTGCATTTTTTAATTATACGCAGTTTATTGATATATTTATATAATAGAGCTATTTAATGTTGTAGTTTTTCACTGCAGCTTAGTATATTATTTTTTAAGTATTTGTGATTACAATTTATAGGTAACCGCAATTTAGGCTCAAACTCTGCAATTATTACTTGCAAGCTGCAGGAGAAGGCTTCTATTAAAACTTCTATTAAAATGTAATTGAAATTTGGCATAATGATTATGGAATAAGACAACTTGCTATGGCCAACTTGCTGCAACCAGCTTACCCCTGCCAATTCACCATGGCCAGCTTGCCACGACCAACTCGCCACAGGACAATTCACAGTGGCCAATTCACAGTGGGAAAACTCGCTGCAGAACAATTCAACATTTTTATTTAATTATTTAAAAAGTATTTTCATTTTTGTCATTCACATTTCATTTTGTCCCTCCTTTTGCACCCTATCTTTAATTATTCTATTTCACAATTTCTTCGATATTATGTAATTTTTGTCCTGTGGCAAGTTGTCCCACAGCGAGTTGGCCATGGTGAATTGTCCCATGGCAAATTGGCTGTGGTGAGTTAGCTGTGGTGAGTTGTCCTAGACCAGGGGTGTCAAATTCAATGCCCGCGGGGTGGTTCCGGCCTGCGGGATGCTTAGATCTGGCCCACGGAGCTGCCCAGGAAATAGTGAAGGACCAGCCTGCAGTGCCTCTTCCAGCGAAAATGGACCTTCTGTTTTCCCTGGCAGAGGGTTGCAGGAAGCTGTCCCAGCCAAAAACGGAGCTTGGGAGTCTATTTTTGCTGGCAGAGCACTCAGGACACCACATGCGCCCCCTGATACAAGAGATGTCAAGCTGGCCACATCCAGTGTGGCTACGCCCACCCCAGATCAAACAACCCTGATGCATCCCTCAATGAAATAAAGTTTGACACTCCTGTCTTGACCCTTAAGGTGCCAGACCAGAAACTACAAGACTGTGCATTCTACTCTCACCTTAGGCACAAAGCCAGGTAAGAGACCTTGGGCCAGTCACTCTCCCTTACCTCTAAGAAACAGGCAAGAGCAAACCATTTCTGAAATGTTACCAAAAAAAACTGCCAGGACTAGTCCAACCTGATTCAAAGGCATGCATAATTGAAATTCTTAGCTGGGAAATGTAATCTTTACTTGTCATTATGGGTTCTGTAATTCTTGGAGGCAGTTCTTGAGGTTCCTTTCTGCAAATCAATTACATTTCCCTAATCATTACAAATGTCACCAAGGATATGGTGTTCATCATTAAAAAAAAATTCAAGGAAAGATAGAAGTTCATCTGCTTTACCACTGCGTACTAGCAAACCCATATATCAGTCAGCTGTCTTCTCAACCTGTTCTTATTTCAAGCTTTTTTCCCCTCAAGTGCAGAGCCAACAAGAAAAAAAAATTAGTATTATGCAGAAGGTTCAAGTGACAGTTAAATTTATAACAGACTCTTGGCAATATCCTTGTTTTTGTATATCCAGTTAGGCAGCAATGCCAGGACACTCACCAAATATCTATGCTCCCAGCCTTGCCCATCACTGTTCTCTTTAAGAGTCATCTCCTCCTAAAGTAGAGGGAGGGAAGAAAGAAAAGCAACTCACCTTGATGGTTTCAGCTAATAGATCCAACAGAGATATCTCCACCCTTCTCCTGTCACTACCAAGCTACTTAAGAACAACATTACCCTGAGGACACTTGTTAACCAGACTGAACAAAGTGGTGTAAAATAATGAGATCACAGCAGAAACAGAAATGTCCCTGGTCTTAGTAGAAACTCTGATAAATAGCCCAGAAAATGATCTTGCTATTCAAGGTTCTCTAGTTTAAGTTTCAGTTTATGCAAGTCCAATGTGTTTCCCTGTTTGCCTAAATTTCACTGAAAGTAAAATAAAAAAAATGACTTCACCAGACCAACCAGTGCATGCCACATACTGAGTACATCCAAATGTTAAATAGCACTATAATTTCAATGACAGCTGAAATTTTATATTTTATATTTAGACTGTGTATCTTGGATTTCTGAAAGTTAGATGAGATAAAATATCTTGGATGCAAGGTGTTTTATTATTTATTTTGCGATGTTTCAAATTGGGCTAGAAATATTGAAGGAAGAGTAACACTTCATAGTAAAATACAGCTTCCAGTTTTTTTCATTTTCTTTTATTGTTTATGCATTATAATCTACTAGAAAGATTATAATCTGTATCAAATCACCGGTTTCAGCATCATAATACCATCTAGAATGCAGCAGAGAAGGCACAAACTCAGAAAATGTTTGCATACAAAGACATACTTGAAATTGCAAACCCCATTATGTACATTGATAAACTGTAGAGTCAATCAGGTGTTTTAGAGTTTGTACATCTGAAATAATTCCATTGGGTGTACATGGTAGTATTTATACCAATTACTCCTGATACATTATGTCAGCCAATAGCACTGGTGGCAACTCTGAAAGATTAAAAAAATATTATTATGGTGTCGATGAGGATATTGGGGTAGGCTGATGAAACGGTTGATATAAAAACCCCTTTCTGAACTTCATCTGTCTAGTTCTATGCAGAATTAGCCAATTAGTCTATTGCATGGGACTTGACTTGTATCTTTAATTTCCTCTTCCTAAACTGAATAGAGCTGTGACAAGGCAAGTATTCTCATAAGTGCATGTCTGTCTGTCTGTCTGTCTGTCTGTCTGTTTGTCTATCATCTACTTAGCTAGCTATAATCCCACTATCATTATTTTTTATAACTAAATAGTGAATACTTAATACTCCTTCCTCTTTCTATAAACACAACAACAATCCTGTGAAGTGGTGGGATTCAAAAAATTTTACTACCAGTTCTGTGGATGTGGCTTGGTGGGCATGGCATGGCTTGGTGAGCGTGGCTTGGTGGGCATGGCAGAGGAAGGATACTGCAAAATCCCCATTCCCTCCCCACTCCACTAACCTGCCTTCCAGCTCCATTCTCCTGTGTAGGGCAACAAAAGAAGACCCAGCTGATCAGCTGGGACTCAGGAGGCAGGGAATAGATGGGGCTGGGGACAGTCAGAGGTGGTATTTCTCGGTTCTCCGAACTACTCAAAATTTCCGCTACTGGTTCTCCAGAACTGGTCAGAACCTGCTGAATACCACCTCTGACCTTCATGCCTAAAGCAGGACTAAAACTCACAGTCTCCTGGTTTCTAGCCTGGGACCTTAAATGAAACACAGCGTAACTCTTGCAATATTTCTTCTAGAACAGAAACTGATATGGAAATCTATCTAATGAGTTGGTGACTGAGGCTAAACTCAGTCAGTATTATATAAGTCTTAAACTCAAGCAGTATTATATAAGTCTTCTTTGAAGCAATCTCGATTCAGTTTATTATTATATCTAGGAATGTAGTAAATTATTACATCCTTAGCTACTTATCTAAGAGAAGATAAGAAGTGGTGGCCTTGATGATGTAAGATCTTGTTCATGTAAGTTCAGGTACACAAATTCTGGAATCTGAAAGACGTGTGTGGTTCCATGACTGCTTATGCTGTATCTTACACAGTTCCTCCAAACATTGCTGATTTTTTAAAAATAATTTTGAATGAAACAGCATGGAAAACACAGATAGACAGATGAGAAGTGATTGCTCTACTATGATTCAATTAAACATGACTAAATTAATCCTGGTTCCTCCTACTGTTTTTATTTGAGAACACAGCCTGCCATTCTACTGTCATGTTTGGCTTTCTGTCTGAAGAGTTGGGATGCCTAAGAAATCACTGTAAAATTGGTTGTTTTTAGCAAAACGAGCAGTCTAGTCAAAGACGGGGCCATGTCATTTATCTGACTCACTGTACACTGAATAGATACCTTCATTCCATCAAATGAAGTAGGAAAAATGCAAGAGTAGATTGTTATCTTCCTCTTTGAGGCTGCAGTTTGGAAGACATTGGCATGTATGGTGTAATGTTGTTGTGTAGCTGTGTTGCCTAAGCTGTGAACTCCCACCTTTTGCAGAGCCGGCCTGCAGACACTTTTACCTCATAATTGTAAGCACTCAGTCTCACAGATGCTCATTTCGATGACTAATGTCACTTACATAGATTAACTGTAACCACCTCCTACATAAGTACTAGTGCTTGGGAAAAGAGATAGTTTTTAATGCAGTTACTTTAGGGACTTGTTCCTGTGCTGTGTGCCCATATTCAGGATGTGCTTTGGATAATATATGTACAGTGAAAAAAGAGTAGTCCAATAGATTTAAGCAATATGAAAGATATGTTTCTGAAGAATCCACTAAAAGTAAGGGTAAGTCAATTTCTTTTTGACTCTTAGTTTACAGAAACATTATGGCATGATAATTTTTAAGCAATACATGAAAGTACCATGGACAAGAAAACAAACTAACGGATCATCAAACCAATCCAGAGTTCTTACTTGAGGGACAAATGACTGGGCTCAAATTATCCTATTTTGGGCACATTGTGCAAAGGCCTAACTCCATAAAGAAGGCTCTAATGCTGGGAAAGAAAAGAAGAGAATGACCTGAAAAATCAGATTAGGGGCAGATAATTATGGAGAAAAGCTATCTATGTGGTCACTAAGAGTTGACAATGATTTGATGACACATGATCAATCTTCAAACTAGAGCTGTGTGGAACCTTCATAACTTGATTTGATTGACTCACCACTTTGAATATTGAAATAAAATCTTAAAATTGGGGCATCAAATTAAATTGAGGTTCTGAATCTAGCCAGATGCCTTAATGCTGATTTGAAAATGAAATGGACTTCTGCATATGCAAAATTGTCTATTTACCAAATTACACCCTGGCATTGATTCAATTTGACAATTTGAACTCAAATTTCTAATCAAACTGACTTGACCTTTTAAATTGAATTCCAAATGTAAATTGAATAACAAATTCAAATCAAATCTTGGCTGTGCTGTCATGCAAACTACATAATTTTGTTTAAGCACAGGAGTTTTCCCTTTTATCCATAGTATACACCATTTCACAAGAGTTGCATTGTGGGATATATATGTTGGAGGGAAAAAACCAAAAACCAGCTTTGTTCCCTGCAATACAGATGGAGACAGTTGCCTTCACCAATGTCAATTTTTTTCACAGCTTAAATTTGGGAGTTTAAAAAAAATAAATATGGAGTAAATAGTCATTATGTGCATTGGATTCTCCTTTAAATGCACACCGAAATACCCTAAGCATCCTAAGGATATACACCTCTCTGAAGATCTTACTGGATTTTGGTCTCCCATCCAGAAATAAATGTGAGCCTGACCATTCACTTTGTCTAACACAGTGGTCACCAACCAGTGGGCCGGGGACCACTGGTGGTCCGTGAGAACATTTTGGTGGTCTGAAGAGAAATGTCCCCCCCAAAGCACCCCCCAAAGCAATTAATCAAGGCTGCGATAGAATACAAGGCTTGCGTCGCTTGCATTGCGAACTACACAAGGTAGTGAGGGGAGGGGGGGAAGGGCAGAGGGGGGGAACTTGCCCCACTCGTCCCACGCACCTCGCCTGGCCACCGGACTGCTTCTTTCCACTTCTTTCTTCTTCTGCTTTTGGCTTCACGCAAGGAAAACAGCAAAGGTCTTTCTTTCTCTCCTCCAAACTCTGCCAGAAATGAGTCTTTGGGACCCTGCAATGCCTCCTGCTCCAAGAGGCTACGCCGGCACAACAAGTCACACAAAGACTTATTTTTGGTGGAGTTTGGGGGAGAGAAAGAAAGACTTCTGCTGCTTCTGCTGCTTTCCTTGCATGAAGCCAAAAGTCTCTCTCTCCCTCCCTGAGAACGGAGCTGGAGACGGTATCCTGCGATCCCAAATAAAGAACGATTGATTGGTAGGAAAACGGGGTGGGGAATTTTCCTGCAGACTTTTTTGGGGGATTTTTCAGAGTCTCTGGTCCGCGGGGTTTAAAATGATGAGTTTGGTGGTCCCTGAGATTCAAAAGGTTGGTGACCCCTGGTCTAACACATCAAAGTGGATGAACTGGGAAACCGCATCTCCACACATAAATAATTATTTGAAATTATTTTGGAATGTTCCGTCTTTTTTTTCAAAGTCAACAAGTACAAAGCCATTTTCATTCATTTATGACTTTTGTCTGTAAGGATACATTTGTATTACTGTTTTTTTAAGAATTGAGAAATGATGCATCTATGTTCATTCTGATAATTGGTACATTCCCCCCACCCAGAAGACAAAACTGAAGACTTCATGAATAAGTCACATTTCTTCCTCCCTTATGTGGAGCCCTAAGCCATGGTTATGACAGCAGCAGCGTCTGCCATTCTTACATGAGCTACAGTACACAGTCATGACAAAGTTACTCATGTCTGTGTATGGTAGACAAATACTGTACATTATGTCCCCCAAACAATTGCTTTCCTTCTGTCTGGACGGAGAACGAAGTCTAGGCTTTCATTATCCATTTGATTAGTATTTATTTTTCTTTGTTGTTTCCATGTGCTGTGACTTCTTCCTCTTCCTTGGGCCTTGAGAAGAATAAAAAGTTGCAGCTATGTGCATTATTTATTTATTCTTAGTATTTGAGGTGA